CACAGGAAGCAGAAACTGAAGGGACAAGAAACACAAGAAGCTAAGCTTCCTCAGTCTCAAAAGTATGGCCATGACCTCAGGGGTTTCAAAGGGTGGAGCCATGGCCTCTGTCGTTTCTAAGGGGGTGTCACCACTCCGATGGACTAGGGAAATGGTGCACCTAAAGCCGAGGGAGCAGAGTTCCCATCCCAGTGAGCCTGGAAGGCAAAGCTGAAGCCCAGGGCTGAGAAGCCTGCATTCAGGATCTGGAGAGTGTGGCCAATACCTAGAGTCTGGAGGGCAGGGCCATTGTGTAAATTGCCTCAGAGAACAGAGGATTATTTTCAAAGCCTTAAGGGCTAATGTAATGTGTTCTGCTTACTTGCTTGGTGCCTGTTATCCCTTCTTTTCCTCCAGTTTCTCCATTTGTAACGGAAATGTCTAGCTTGTACCTGTTCTACCATCGTACCCTTGGAAGCAGATAACTTGTATTCTAGATTTCACAGATGAAGAGGAATTTTTGGATTTTAGACTTGGAGTTAAAACTTTTGCTGTGATATGATGGGGCAGATATGTTTTGTATGTTGCAAGGATATGATTTTGGGGGGGCCAAAGGGTAGAATGTCATGGATTGAATTATGCCCCCCCCCAAAAAAATTTGTGTATCAGTTTGGCTGGGCCGTGATTCCCAGTATTGTGTGATTTTCCTATATGTTGTAAATCCTGCCTCTGTGATGTTAATGAGGGAGGATGGGCAGCAGTTGTGTTACTGAGATAGGACTCAGTCTACAATATTGGATTGTGTCTTGAGGCAGTCTGTTGAGATATAGAAGAAAGAAGCAAGCAGAGAGACAGGGGGACCTCATAACCCCAAGAAAGCAGTGCTGGGAGCCGAGCGCGTCCTTTGAACTCAGGGTGGAGAAGCTCCTAGTCCAGAGGAAGATTGATGAGGAGGCCAACAGAGAGAGAAAGTCTTCCCCTGGAGCTGATGCCCTGAATTTGGACTTTTAGCCTACTTTACTATGAGGAAATAAGCTACTCTTTGTTAAAGCCATCCACTTGTGGTATTTCTGTTATAGCAGCACTAGATGAATAAGACACTTTCCGATTTGGATGCCCTTTGTTTCTTTTCCTTGCCTTATTGCTCTAGCTAGGACTTCCAGCACAACGTTAAATAAGAGTGGTGATAAACAGCATCCTTGTCTTGTTTCTATTGTGAGGGAGAATGCTTTTAGCCTCTCTCTGTTGAGAATGATGTTGGCTCTTGGTTTTGTATAGATGCCCTTTATTATGGTTAGGGATTTCCCTTCTACTCCTATTTTATTGACAGCTGTTATCAGGAATGGATGTTGGACTTTATCAAATGCGTTTTCTGCGTCAATTAAGATGATCAGGTGATTCTTTTCTTTTGTTCTATTTATGTAGTGGATTACATTGATTGATTTTCTTATGTTGAACCATCTTTGCATACCTGGTATGAATCCCACTTGGCCATGGTGTATTATTGTTTATCTTTGAGGTTTTTAGAGGCACTAAGAATCAGCAAACTATAGCCTGTGTACCAAATCCAGCCTGCCGCCTATTTTTGTTAAGGCCTGGTCACCAGTCTGATGGGCTACTCTGTGAGCCACTGAGTCCAAGCTGGGGTCCTCTCTGTGCCTCTTTCCCCCTCCACTCCCAGTGCTGTTGCCTGGTGAACAGCTGTGTCTTGCTGCTGCCCAGGGCCTCCGCTGGTGGCCATTGCCAAGCACTGAGTCATGGAATTTCAGTCTAGGGGTTGGCAATCCATTGAGTTGCCTCACCTCTGGCCAGCTGCTCAAATTGTATTCTGGCTGTCTGGAAACAGAGAAGGGCATGCCAGGGTCTGGGTGTCACTGGGATAGAAAGTGAAACTGACAGTGGTGGCCATATACCCCAACCTGCCTCGGCCCACCCTTCCCTTGGGCCGGTGGCTTTTTGTCTCAAGTATGTTTCTATTGGACGGCAGCCTCAGATGGCCCACCATAGACATTTAGGGCTAGGCAGGGCAGGAGTTTCCCTCACTGTATTTTACCTCTTGCTCTGCAAAGCTTAAAATATTTTTTGTCAGGCCCTTTACAGAAAAAGGTTGTGAACGCCTGCACTAGAATATCACAAGTCTAGCCTTTCAGCCATTCTGTAGTTCACAACACTTAAGTAAGCTACATAATGGTAATGTTTTGTTGTAGAATCTTAGCTCTTTACCAGTCTTTCTGTTTGGTCGGGAACTATTAGACTCTTACATGATAAATCTGATTTAGTCACAGTCCTAACCTATCTTCCTGCATATCTGTATTGTTTTCCTACTGGTTCAGAGGAAGAGTATTTGTTTTGTGCAAAGTAAGCCATCCCACTTGGTTGCTGCGAGGGCCCTTGGGGCAGAGACCATGACTTATTCAAGTTTTTATCTGTTGTGACTAACATCAGGCTCAGATCACATTTACTGGATTAGCTCATTATTAATGAGGAGTGAATGTGTTTTCTTCATTACGATTCCAGTGATTAACACAAATTTTATGCTCAAAAATAAGTGTATTAGTTTCTCTTGAGATACAAATTTGTACTTTTTTTAGGATTAGCAAACAATTTGATTCAAATGGTTATTTGGGAACTTAACTTTTAATATAATTACTACTTATTTTTTGGTGGGAATTATATTTTGGGGTAAAATGGTTTTGTCTTGAAATAAATCAGTAGAAGTAAATATATACAATATTTTTGAGTGCTTGTTATATGCCAGGCACTGTTGTTAGCACATTTCATGCATTTACTTATTTATTCTTTCCCTCAGAATATTATTATAACTCTCATTTTCAGTTGAGGAGACCAGCACAGAGAGGTTAAGTAACTTGCTCAATGTCCCTGAGCCAGTAAGTACAGAAGCTGGAATTGAAACCCAGGCAGTCTGAATTCCAAGACTGTGCTGTTAACCATAGTGTGAACATCTGGCTTACCCAGCTATAGCTGGACTCCCCTGCCCGTTTAGATTTAGATAATATTTCCTGTAGAAGTCTAGCACCTTGCCCAAGATTTTACATTCCTGTAGATGGCTGTTGCTCCAAATGCCTGCTTTTACTGAGTTAGTTTGTTTGAAGAATCTCTAGCTGTTCCAAGAGAGGACTTTGCATCTTAGCAAGGAAGACATCTTCACATTGAACATTAGCCAACTTGGTTCTTAAAATTGACTAATTTATTTAATAATAAATATATATTTTATTGTATAATATTTGATACATGTAACATGTATAGATTATGACACCCATGAGCCCACTACAGAACCAAGAATAACCAACAAAAACCAAACCTGTTGCTGCTGAGTCAGTTCCAACTCATGGCCTCCCCACGTGCTACAGAGTAGAACTGTTTCATAGGGTTTTCTTGGCTGTAATCTTTACAGAAGCAGATCGCCAGTCCTTTCTTCTGCAGTGCTGCTGGGCTAGTTCCAACCACCAACTTTTGGTTAGTAGCCAAGAGCAAACCATTTACACCACACTGGGACCTGCTTAAGAGCATTAGAATCTTTAAATTATCACAGTGTGTTTACAGAAATGTGAGAAAGGTTGGGCTAGGGAATTTATTTGTTCTAAAGGTGGTTTTTAGCTCACAGGATTTGGCTCCTTGGTTTGGAGCTTTAGGGTCATGGTTTCATGAGACATCCCAATTAATTTGCCTAATAAGGTGTTTAATGTTTCTATTCTACCTCCTAGTTCATTGTGTAGTGCCTGGGGTCTTAGAAGCTTGCAAGCAGCCATCCAAGGCACAACTGATCTCTATTTGCCTGAGCAACACAGGAGAATCAGGAATAGGAAGAGGATATGGAATGTGTGGCTAATTGCCTCCATGAACAACAACTGCCTCCTTTGCCATGAGACCAGAAGAACTGGTGCCCGGCTACCATTACTGAACATTTTGATCGAAGATTCTCTAGAAGAGTCCTGATTAAAAGGAGGGAAATGCAGAACAGAATTTCAAATTCTTATGGACTCCAGACTTTCTGGAGCGATGGGGGATGGATGAACCCCTGAAACTATTTACCTGAGATAATCTTTAAACCTTAATCCAAAAATATCCCCTGAAGTCTTCTTAAAACCAAACAATAGTTTAGCTTAACTAGTAAAAAATGTCTGCCTTGAGCATTATGTTCTTTTAAGAACTATCTACATGAGATCAAAGTTACAACAGCAACTCAAAAGATTAGATAGGAACCTTAGGTGACAGTGAGTTTATGTTAATGGAGGAGGAACAACTCAGAAAAGGAAGGTGAGAATGGTTGCACAACTCGAAGAATGTAATCACCGTCACTGAATTGTCCACGTAGAAATGGTTGAATTGGTGTATATTTTGCTGTGAGTATTCTCAACAGTAACAAAATAAATTTTAAAAAAATAAGAAAAAAAGATGATTATTAGGTATGGCTGTTTTTTCTAATAGTGAATCATCTGCAATATATCTTGAAGTTAGTAAATTTGGGTGCTTTTCTCAGTGTACATTAATCAATTCAGGAAAAAAAACCCTCTTATAAATATTGTCACTCTTACTCAGGCAAACCTAGTCAGAGGAATATTTTATTTTATACCTTTAGCAGAAAGCATTCAATGCAGATCACACGTCATTCACTTGGTACGTATTTATTGGGTGCTGTTTTGTGCCAGGCATTGATCTAGGCCCCGGGGGTGGACAAAGCAGAGCCCCTACCTTTGTGGAACTGATGACGTGGGGGCAAGAGAACGTGCCTCAGGTACCGGGAGCGCAGTGAGGGGGAGTTGAGTGTAAGGCGGAGTGGGTAGGTGGAAGGTGGTTTATTTGAGGGGTGCACGTGTAGGGAGGTGTGGCCAGGGAAGGCTCTGTGGTGTCCGAGCGGAAACCTGAATGGTAAGGAATAAGCATGTGGGCACCCGGGGAGCGTTCCAGCAGACTGAACAACAAATATAAAGGCTCTGTGGGGAACAGGGTTGGAGTGTTTAAAGACAACACATACCGTTGTCCACTCTTCTGTTCTCCAGGGATCCGAGATGTTTCTAAATGGAGCGAGAGAACAAGAAAGCCTCTAGAAGCCTTATATGGGTATGACTACTTGGCTCAAACCTGTGAAAAGTGGGTGGACGGCATTCTGCAGTTCAAACATCTGCCAGACGGTAGGTTGCATAAACTGTGTTCCTCGGCTGATTAGAGAGGATGAGAGAGGACACCTGAGTTTCTTTCCTGATATTCTGGAATTCTCAGTGATTATGAGTTCACTGATTATCGTTACATATTGATGCATGAAAGAGGATATTAGTATTGTATACAGTACAAGTTATTGTATAATAAATCTGCCTTAAACTAGAGACAGAACTGTATATATATAAAGGTCCACATTTTTCACTCTTTAATAACAGATTGTTCTCTTTTCCTTTCAATTCTTTGTGTGTGGTGACAAAATAATCCTCTAGAAGCCTCACATGGTTTCTATTTTCTAATTCTGGGATGGGTAATTAGAAAACAAACAAGCCTCAGTATATACCATGTTTTTTCCTTGTTGCACTTCCCTCTGTTGACTAGGACAAAAAGGAGGGACTTTTGGTCAGGACCTTCAGTCCCAGCAGGATTAGCACGAGGATAAGAGTACTGAATTCTTGCCATCTTCAGAACTACGTTATATGACCTTAGCCATAAACAGATGTCTCCATTTCTTTATCTGAAAAATTAACAAGTTTTCCATTTATAATAAGAATTGACATCTCTAAGAGAAATCCTGAATTAAAGTTTATTTTTTATGTAAGTATTTACATTTGTAACCTTTATTTTTCTTATTTTTAATTGCTGAAAGAATGGAGAAGCTAAAATCTAGTCTTGGAACACATTCAATTTAAAAATGGCAGTAATTGAAGTACCAGTTTAATCTATTAGGTAATGATTTTCAGAATGAGTTATTTGTCACAACTTTCACAGTGCAAAGGGCATTTGGATGTGTTATTCTTTCTTGTTTTTACTTCAGAACAGCAAATATGTGCTTTGTAATGATCCTGTTCAAATGCAGTGTCCCCCCATAGAAACAGATCCTGGAAATATGCTTCCCTCAGCTCTTAAACAAAAAGTTCCATAAGGCAGTGTCTAAGAGAGCACTCCATTAAAGAAGGCAGATTTGTTAACTGTAAGCTTTTATGCATTATTGAAGGGAGCAGTGAAAATGTGTGAAGATTCAAAGCAGAGCAGAAAATTCAAAAATATGTCTTGATTTCGAGGATCTAAACACACCCCTCCTCCATTGCCATCAGGTCAATCCAACTCATAGCCAGCCTATAGGACAGAGTAGAACTGCCCCATAGGGTTTCCGAGGCTGTAATCTTTATGGAAGCAGACCGGCACATCATTCTTGTGCGGAGGAGTGGCCAGTGAATTGCTGACCTCCCTTCTGTACTAGCTAATGTAACAGGAACGTTGTTTTCATCAGTGTGCCCTCAGGTTCACGGATGATCAGTACAGCACAGGGGTGAGTGCACGGCTTTGGAGTCAAATAAACCTGGATTTGAACTCTGGCTTTGCCACTTGTTTTGCTGTTAGAATAGATTTAGGCAGATTACTTAGCTCCACAAAGCCTCATTTCCTTATCTGTAAACCGGAGATAAAAAATACCTACCTCATAAAGTTGTTGTGAGAGAATTAAATGAGATAATACATGTTAAGCTTTGGCACAGAACCAAGTACAGAGTAAGTGCTTAATAAAAGGTTATTATTATCATGAAAGTATTTAATTTACGAATAACTCTACATACTAAATTAGTGAGAATGTGTAATTACTTTTAAATGTTTACCAGATATTAAATTGTTTGACTTGTTCCTGACACACAATGAATGCTCAGCAATCCTGGCTTTAATCATCATCATCATCGCACAGTGGGCAGTGCATGTTACCCCAGGGACAGGAAAGGGAAGCTTCAGAGACCTAGAGAAGTCTTTCCCTGGTCAAGACGCCACCTTCTCAGTTAGCAAGCAGTAACCCCCACCCTGACTGAGAAGGGGAGAGGCCTAGTGGCTGGACAGTACCTCTGTGGCCTGGCTCCCAGCTTCCTCAGAACTGCAGTGCTTTCTCCTTGATACAGGCAGAGGAGGAAGGAAGAGAAGGAGAGAGGAGCTAACTTACGGAGTACCTGCTGGGTGCCAGGAGCCTTAGATACAGCATCTCTTTTCAACCTCATGACAACCCAAGGGAACAGTGGTTACCGCTGCTTGACCAAGGAGGGAACCAAGGGTCAATGAGGTTAAGGGGCCACCAAGAAATGGCAGTGCAGGAACCAGAGCCCAGGTTGCACACCTTCAAAGCCCAGGTGCTTTGTATGCTATTATTTGCCTTGAAAATGTTGTTTTAAGTGGTAGGTCCTTGTAATCGCTCAGAGGTATATTCATCAGGAATATAGTGGGAGCAGTATGGGTGCTTATTTACCATGTGTAAATTGTAACTTCATGGTAAGCTGTATAAGCTTTGGAGGGCTGGCTGGGACCCCAGTTATCATTTAAGATGTGATTGTTAAAAAAAAAAGCTTTTCAAGAGCCAACCACCTACCATTGTTCTCCAGACTGGAATCTTCCCCTATGTAATGTAGAGTTGTGGGTTTTTTGTTTGCTTTTTTTCCCTACTGTTTTTACATGAATTATGTGTTTAAACCAGGTAAAACTGCTTATTTACTAGTAAAGCTTAGAACAAGAGCAGAGAAACTGAAGAGGAAACCCACAGAATGTTAGAGCTGGAACGAACCTTAAAACCAAAATCCAGTTGTTGTGGAGTTGACTCTCAATCATGGCAACCCCACGTGTGAGAGTAGAACTGTGTTCCACAGAGTTTTCAACGGCTGATTTTTTAGAAATAGATCCCCAGTTCTTTCTTCTTAGGTGCCTCTGAGTGGACTCAAACCTCCAACCTTTTGGTGAGCAGCCGAGTACATTAACTGATTGCACCACCTAGGGACTCCAAGAAGGACGTTAGGTGGCATCTAATCCAGATGGGTGACTTAACAGACATGAACACAGTGGTTCAGAGAGGCAATGATGTACCTGAGCTCCATTCCTGCTTTTTATAATGTAGAATGGTTACATGAAAGCAAATTCTTTGTGCTGTTTTTCAGGTAATATCTGTCAACACTTGCTGCCCCTCGTTCAGTGCCCCACTTTGATTGTGCACGGGGAGAAGGACCCATTGGTCCCACGTTTCCATGCTGACTTCATCCACAAACATGTGAAAGGGTCATGGTAAGTCCAGACCCCGGTGCAGCCCTCTGTGCCACAGAGGCTTAGAGAGTAAATGGAGCAAACTGTGGTGAGGAAAAGAAAGGTGAGATGCTGGGGCTTTTAAGGTGTGTGCCCTTACCCCTATCTTGCCAATATTGTTGTATTTCAGGTACTATGAAAATACAGGGGACAAGAAGCCCTGTTTTGTGGGTAAACAGTAAATGGAAGGAGAGGATTCTCAGATCAGTATCTCTTATTGTTGTTCTGAATGGCAAATGTGCTAATACTATTCCAACATGGATTATAATTTAGATTTATGTCAATCATTGTGAACTAAAATAATATAATTGTGAATTTTCAGATTAGTTTTTCATCACTTAAAAGAACTATCTGCTCAGTAAAGAAAATCTGTAAAATCCAAAGAAAAAACCAATCATCCATTCCTTATCACCCATTTAAATACTGTTGTTATTAACATTTGTGTTTTTTCTTTCTAGTATTTTTTTACATAGATACAAAAAAATAAATAAATAAACTCATTTCTGTAGAGTCAATTCTGAATCATAGTGACCCTGTAGGTCAGAGTAGAACTGCTGCCCCATATGGTTTGCAAGCCTGTAATCTTTACAGAAGCAGACTGCCACATGGTTCTCCTGTGGAGTGACCGGTGGGTTCAAACTGCCAAACTTCCGTTTAGCAACCGAGCATTTAACCACTGCACCACCAGGACTCCTTACATAGAAAAATTTTATATATATATATATATGTAATATATATATATATATAATATTAGTCATATTCTGTATTCAACTCTGAGTCCTGCTTTTTTTCACTTAACATTGTGTTCTAAGATTTTCATGTTATTCAGCCTTAAGTAAGTACATGCCATAATTAGAACCTGTTACTTGGAGTCACAAAATACCAACACATACCAAGACTTGTACCTAAATAGCAGGTACATGTCACTTGTTCTTTTTGTCCTTATTTCTGCCAACCAAGCTCAGGCTTCTGAGAACTTTATAAAATAGGGCAGCAGACATTCTGTCATTCAATCCCATAAATTTTTGTGTGAAATAATAATTTATATTTTAAATACTTTGACAGAGGAGCCAGGTTTTGCTGTAATTTACATCAAGATGAAAATTCGAAGTTGAATAAGTTGTGTGTTTCCTTTACATATAATGGATGCACACACTGGAGGAGGAAATGAGATCTGGCTGGAAGATGGGTGGCCTGGGTTGTTACAAAGGTTCTAGAAAATAAACATACCAGTGAGCATTGGCCCTTCAGAGACTCTATGTTCATTCTAGAGATGCAGTCATTACTTAGGACGTCTTTGGAATTTGACGGAATTCTTTTGAAACTGGGTTTATTAGCACCTAAGAAAATCCTTATGCCCTCCCTCCTTCCTCTCTCCCTCTACTAACCCGTGTCTGCTAAGTGCCAGCACTGCTCTTCATGGCCCTTGTCTTCAAAGCCCCTGCAATCCAGCAGAGAAAGCAGACACAGAAACAGTCGCACTGCTTCTTACTCATACTGTTCTGTGACATACTTGAACAACAGACTTCTGTGAGAATTTTAAATGTGAGAAAAATGCCTCATATTTTACAATAAAATACAACTGTCATAACCAATGGTACAGAAGGGAGAAGTTCAAGCTACACTGAAGGCATTGGCGAAAAGGCTCCAGGAATGGACAGAATTATCAATTGAGATGTTTCAGCAGACAAATGCAACACTGGAAGCGCTCACTCGTCTATGCCAAGAAGTTCGGAAGACAGACAGAAATTTGGCCAGCTGACTGGAAGAGATCTATATACGTGCCCATTCCAGAGAAAGGTCATCCAACAGAATGCGGAAATTATTGATCAATATCATTAATGTCACACTCAAGTAAAATTATGCTGAAGATAATTAAAAAATGGTTGCAGTAGTAGATTGACCAGTAATTGCCAGAAATTCAAACTGGACCCAGAAGAGGACGTGGAATGAGGGATATCTTTGCTGATGTCAGATGGAACCTGGTTGAAAGCAAAGAATACCAGAAAGATGTTTACCTGTGTTTTATTGACTATGCAAAGGCATTCAACTGTGTAGATCATAACAAATCATAGATAACATTACAAAGAATGGAAATTCCAGAAACTTAATTGTGCTCATGCAGTCATTCAAACAGAACAAGGGGATATCGTGTGGTTTAAAATCAGAAAAGGTGTGCATTGGGGTTGTATCCTTTCGCCATATTTATTCAGTCTGTATGCTGAGCAAATAATTTAAGAAGCTGGATAACCTGAGGTATATAGATGACAAAACCTTGTTTGCTGAAGGTGAAGAGGGCTTGAAGCACATACTGATGAAGATCAAAGAGTACAGTCTTCAGTATGAATTATACCTTAACATAAAACAAAAATCCTCACACCTGGACCAGTAAGCCACATCATGGTAAATGGAGAAATATTGAAGTTGTCAAGGATTTCATTTTACTTGGATCCACAATCAATGCCAATAGAAGCAGCAGTCAATAAATCAAACAACATATTGCATTGGGCAAATCTGCTGCAAAAGACCTCTTCAAAGTGTTAAAAAGCAAAGATGTCACTTTGAGGACTAAGGTGCACCTGACCCAAGACATGATATTTTCAGTCGCCTCATGTGCATGCAAAAGCTGGATAATGAATAAGGAAGACCGAGAAGAACTGATGCATTTGAATTATGGTGTTGGTGAAGAATATTGAATATACCATGGACTGCCAGAAGAACAAAGTCTGTCTTGGAAGAAGTACAGCCAGAATGCTCCTTAGAAGCAAGGAAGGATGGCGAGGCATCGTCTCACATATTATCAGGAGGGACCAGTCCCTGGCGAAGGACATTATGCTTGGTAAAGTAGAGGGTCAGCGAAAAAGAGGAAGACCCTCAATGAGATGGATTGACACAGTGACTGCAACAATGGGCTCAAACATAGCAATGATTATGAGGAGGGAGCAGGAGTGGGCAGTGTTTCTTTCTGTTGTACCTGGGGTTACTGTGAGTCAGAAACAACTTGACGGCACCTAACAGCAACAACCCCATAAACCTTTATAATTCCTATATCCTTATAGCATTTTATAGTTTAAAAAACATTTTTACATACAATGTCTAATTACACCTTAAAACAAATTTATGAGTACATATTATCCTTTTTTATAGATGAGAGACTCAAGGCAGAGACATGTTAAGTAACCTACCAAGGTTGCACAGCTAGTAAATGACAAATCTTAGATTCTTTTTCTTTAGATACAGTGCATTTCCCCTACAGCACAGCTGCCTCCCATAAACATACTCCTATTTTAATATGATGGTCAGATGCCTGGATTAATTTACTTGATGATCTTATTGTCTTCTAGCTTCATAAACAACCAGGTTTTTGCACACTGACGCTTCTAGTAAATGCAGTGTGTTCCCTGCATTCAATAAAAGTCAGGCTGCAAAGAGCTTAATTTAGATAATTCTGTTCCAGACCCATCTCCTAGCCACAGAATGTATCAATATGGGAGAGAAACACACGCTTACCCCTTACCATTCAGATGTTAATTATTCTGGTAGACTATTTTATGGTAGATAAGTTTCGTATAGCAACATTCTTTGGAACAGTGGGGATGAGGGTATAGTGTTAGCACTGATTGTCTAAGAATGGTTGCATTTCCCACCTACTACCTCCATCTGCTAGAACAGCCCTTCATGTTGCATGTGCCTGCCTAGAACACTGTTGGTTTATCTGGACCCCACAAAAGGAAGGTGGATTCCTTGAGCACCAGAATCCTAATGTGATTCTACGTACCAAGCCATCGGACAACACAGAAGCAACTCAACCATGGAGCAAGCTTCCAAGGAACTTGATACTTGTCATCAAGGGATATTTATAATTAAACCTATAATTTATAATTTAATTTATAAGTAAACTTAAAGACAGTCTACCCCTTCAAAGAATTTGCCAACAAATAGATATATGTACGAAACAAATACCAACCCGCCCTCTCTCTCATAGGGAGGCTGAATAAAGGACAGATTTGTTCAGCAGACCTGCTTCCTGCTTGTGTTAATCTCCTTCTTTCTTTCTTTGTGGGAGAAGAATCATAGAATCTCTTTGAAGTAAAGAGGTCTTAGAGAGTATTCAGGTTCAGTGGTTTTAAAATTTGTTTCTAGGCAGTTGAACCCTTTCTCCTAATGAACTCCTATGTAAAACCAAAAAACCAAAACCCATTGCTGTTGAGTCAATTCCAACTCATAGCAACCATATAGGACAGAGTAGCCTCATAGGGTTTCCAAGGCTGTGATATTTACAGGAGCAGATCACTAGTTCTTTTCTCCCACAGAGCAGTTGGTGGGTTCAAACTGCTGACCTTTTGGTTAGCAGCTGAGCGCTTAACCACTGCACCACCAGGCCTCCTTAACTCCTGTGCAGAAGTCCAAAATATAAAACAAATTATGAGTTACTCTAATTGAAACAGTGATTCTCCTTATCCTGACCCAGCCCATTCCCACCCCTTCATATGCACTCCTCTCTCCTGGATTGACACATGGAGCTTGCTCACCACTGTCCCATCATAGACTTGTGCCACCTGCAGACCAGACCAGCCCTGCTCTCAGAGAGTCTAGCTGAGCAGAGGTTGGCCCACCAGACCCTTAGAGGTTGGATGAGTGACTGGCCATGTAGGCCAGGGGCTGTGCTAGCTCCTAGGAGGATGTGGCTTCACAACTAGGTGGGGCTCTCGCACACTTCTGGGCAGGGGGGTGCTCCGACCTCAGGCATGGGGGCCAGGCAGAGGGCAGGGTCAGTGTTCAGCTCCAGTGCCAGTGATGGCCCTCTGCCCAGACTCCCTCTTAGCTTCTGAATAAAAAGGGGCTGTTGCTGGCAGCCAGGCATGGATGGCCTCGGAAGGATGCTGCGTGACAAGGACACCCTGTTAGCCACAATATTGCCCGGCTTCCATAGTGGAAGAGCCAGCAGCCTTTTTTGGTTTTCAGCTGAAAAAAAGAAAAGTCACAGACTTAACTGGCAACGTTATGGGTTCACAAATAATTTAGAGTTTTATCACATTAATCAAAGTGAAGAAAAAATGCCACGGCCCATCACTTACGGCCTTGTGCATTTCTGTTGCTCTCAGAGCTTCATTTGTTAGCTGTGAAAGGTCAGAATGAAGAAGGAAAGGTAACACCTCGGGGTAGCAGGGCCACTGGTTTGTTTGCATTCCCACCTCCACCCAGAGGAGCGGGAGGAAGTGAGCACTGAGTTTATACTGCAGATTCAGCGTCCCCTCATCCCTCACTAAGGAGCCCTGGGAGCACGGTGATTAAGCACTCTGCTGCTATCTGAAAGGTCAGTGGCTGGAACCCACCAGGTCGTCTTCCAGCTGGGCCAAATGCAGGGAAGAGCCTGGCCCAGCAAGAGGAACTCACACTCTCTCAGGAACCAGAAGACTGGGTGCTGTCGAGTCCTCTCCAGCTCAAGGCAACCCCATGTTTGTCAGAATAGAACTGTGCTCCACAGGGTTTTCAGTGGCTAATTTTTTGGAAGTAGATCACCAGGTCTTTCTTCCAAAGCACCTGTGGGTGGACTTGAACTGCCCACCCTTCAGTTAGCAGCTGAGCACGTTAACCATTTGCACCACCCAGGGGCTCCTACCCTCTTAGAAGCCTCTACACTTCCTGGAGAATGTGATTGTTTGAAAACCACTCTCGAGGAGCATATGATGAGATCCTTTTATTATCTAGGTGAGAATCTCAGTCACCAGCAGAGTACTACATTGCCTTCACAGCTATATATTTATGCCCGTCTATATATCCGGCCAGAATTTAGAGACCATCTGAAGAATAGATTTGACACGTTGAACACTAATGACCGAAGACCAGATGAGTTATGGAATGACATCAAGGACATCATACATGAAGAAAGCAAGAGGTCATTAAAAAGACAGGAAAGAAAGAAAAGACAAAAATGGATGTCAGAAGAGACTCTGAAACTTGCTCTTGAACGTTGGAGAGCTAAAGTAAAAGGAAGAAATGATGAAGTAAAAGAGCTGAAGAGAAGATTTCAAAGGGTGGCTCGAGAAGACAAATCGAAGTATTATAATGACATGTGCGAAGACCTGGAATTAGAAACTCAAAAGGGAAGAACACGCTCAGCATTTCTCAAGCTGAAAGAACTGAAGAAAAAATTCAAGCCTCGAGTTGCAATATTGAAGGATTCTACAGAGAAAATATTAAATGATGCAGGAAGCATCAAAAGAAGATGGAAGGAATTCACAGAGTCACTATACCAAAAAGAATTGGTCAATATTCATCCATTTCAGGAGGTAGCAAATGATCAGGAACCGATGGTATTGAAGGAAGAAGTCCAAGCTGGCACTGAAGGCATTGGCAAAAAACAAGGCTGCAGGAATTGATGGAACACCAGTTGAGATGTTTCAACAAACAGATGCAGCGCTGGAAGTACCCACTCATCTTTGCCAAGAAATCTGGAAGACAGCTACCTGGCCAACTGACTGGAAGAGATCCATATTTATTCCTATTTCCAAGAAAGGTGATTCAACCAAATGTGGAAATTATCAAACAATATCATTAATATCACACAGAAGTAAAATTTTGCTGAAGATCATTCAGAAGCGGCTGTAGCAGTATATTGTTGGCATCTTTCAGAGACCCTTGGGATACCATTAATAATAAACAGAAAATTCAAGCCAGATTCAGAAGAGGACATGGAACGAGGGATATCATTGCTGATGTCAGATGGATCCTGGCTGAAACAGAATACCAGAAAGATGTTTACCTGTGTTTTATTAACTATGTAAAGGCATTCGACTGTGTGGGTCACAACAAATTATAGATAACATTTTGAAGAATGGGCATTCCAGAACACTTAATTGTGCTCCTGAGGAACCTGTATATAGATCAAGAGGCAGTCATTCAAACAGAAAAAAAGGATACTCGGTGGTTTACAGTTAGAAAAGGTGTGTGTCAGGGTTGTATCGTTTCACCATATCTATTCAGTCTGTATGCTGAGCAAATAATCTGAGAAGCTGGACTATATGAAGAAGAACAGGGCATCAGGATTGGAGAAAGACCCATTAACAACCTGTGATAATGCAGATGACACAACCTTGCTTGCTGGAAGTGATGAGGACTCAAGTCTTCTTACTGATGAAGATCAAAGACCACAGCCTTCAGTATGAATTATACCTCAACATAAAGAAAACAAAAATCCTCACAACTGGACCAATAAGCAACATCATGATAAACGGAGAAAAGATT